CACCCCACTCTAAAATTTGAACTGCTTCCTGACCACAATGTTCTGGGGACAGAAGTGAATTCCTTTGATCCAGTTCTGGCTTTTGACCAAAGTGGCAGTCTTGTTCTTTGGCATGACAACAAGAGCTCTGCATAAAAGCAGTCTATGCTGCTGGTTGATCTGCACTTAACACCAGCCCTGGTCTTAGATTCTAGCAGGAAGAAGCATGTCTACTTTGTTTCATTTCTAAGTGGCAAACAATTAAAATGCTAGCAAATGGAAAGAAAGGGTGAATATGGGTGATTTGAGACCTAGGAGATTGGACATAGGGTGGAGTTTAGTCCCCTGGCAGCTCTGAATGGGGCTTTATCCTGCCTGTCCTGCGTGGCTTCCATTTTCATCGTGACCATCTCAAATGGACTGGCTTGATGGAGGAATCTTGAGTGAATTCTAGGGGCCTTCAGAGGATTTGAGGTAATCATTCTCTCTGCTAGGGGAGTGGGTGTGGGCCCCTTCAACATCGTCACTCCTCCTTGGAGGCTCCAGAGTTTAATGGGAGAGAGTACACTGGTCAAGCTGGAGGGCTTAACCTCTCCGAGCCTCAATCTGATCTTCTGCACAAGAGCATTGCTGGAATGGCAGTGTTCAGAGGATGCAATGAGAAAAATGTATTTAAAGCACTTAGCCCTGTGCCAGGCACTTAGCAAGTGCTTAAAGAACAGGAGCGGTTGCTCCTGTCACTATTTTAGACTTCTGAATTCATCTAATAAAACCATCATCGTATTACGCCAAAGGGAATGAAAAGCCAAGTGTGGTTCTCTGTTCCAGGTCACAGAGCTCCCAGGTGAGGGGCAGGGCTGGGACCCCATCCCAGGTCTCCCCCCCGCCCCCCGGCTGTCTTTCTGCTGTACACCACTGGCTGTCAGGACTCATCTGATGCAGAGGAGCTCTTCAAGACCTCCCCGCGCAGGGGCCTTCCATGGTGCCCCCTTCAATCGAGTCTCCACCCCCAACATGTGCTCAGTCTCTAAATCCTGTCCATGTTCCTTCCAAAATATCCTACAAAAATGCCTCCTACTTTCCTGCCTCCTGGTCATTGCAATTGCTGTTCCATCTAGAAGATTCTCCCCTCTTTTCCAGCCATGGCTGACCCCCCCCTTAGTTTCAGCCCACATCCCTCCTCCTCAGAGACCTTCCGTGACCATCCTTGCTGCAGCAACTCTACCCCCATCTCCTTTCTCTCTTTCTCTCCCTTTCTTTCCAGTTTGTGGCCTGTATAGCACTCTCCCCCCCTTTAATTTTCTTTCCTTTTTTATTGTCTCTTTTCCTAAATGTAAGCTCCAAAAGGACAGAGAACATGTCTTCCTTGCTCACTGCTGTGTTCCCAGCAACTAGCACAATGCATGACACATAGGTGCCTGGTAAATACATGCTGGGTGAATGAATGAATGAGTGAATGAAAGAATGAGTGGATTCCAGAACTAGCATATTTGTTAACACCTGGATAGGACCAAGGAAAGGATTTTAATTTGTTCGGAGAGAGACCTAGGTACCTGCTTGTCCCCCTTCCTGGCCTCCTAAAAGAACAGTGTGAGGCTACCCACCAGACAAGGACCCTTCCAAGCAGGCAACCCACACAAAAGCACATCTTGCAGTCAGGGGAAATGGGCGGATAGTTGCTAATTGCGACTTCCAACTGGGCTGATCTTTCCAAAGTTCGAAAGGCGCCTGCCTCCAGAAATCCCAGGCTGCTCCTGCTGCTGAGGCTGGGGAGGGAAGAGAGGAGGGGTGTGCCTGGATGCCTCTCGGGCTGGCACGAAGAAGCCACATCTCCTCCTCCCTCCTCCCCCCAGCTCCTCTCCAAGAGAGGAAGCAATGCAGATGGAGACGAGAAATAAATATTCCTGCCTGCTCCGTGCCACTGCAGACGTTTTCCAAAATGTCTGGCTTGGACCATGAAATCAAGCCCACCCAGGAAAGGAGGCGCTCAGCGGGAGAAAGAGGGGGGAAAGGGTGGTATATTTGTCGATACTTGTCAGCTTTCTGGGGGGCACAGCACATGGCTCATACTTGGCAGCCCTGCTGAGGTGGGGACGTGGTAAGTGCACAGTAATACTTGAAGAATTGAATCAGAAACGGGAGCAGAGTTAAGGAAATCCTGCCAGGGTGCCGGCACCACCTCTCTGCCTTTGTCCAGAGTCCCGGGACTCACAGCTGGCTCTCGCCTCATTCATTTCCAGGCTCTTTCCACAATGCCCGCTGCCCCTGCTCAACCCTCTGCTCTCGCCTCCACTCCACTCTGGCGTGATTACTACAACTGGGCTGCAGGAAGTCTTCAAAGGCCCATTGAGATTTGGGCAGGAGCTCAGAATCCACGTGCGGAGATAGATATTCCTGCCACCTCTAAGCACAGCTCGCGTTCTCCAACGCTGGAATACCAGCAGGAGATGAGAACAGAGGCTGCAAATGATAAGTGGGTGCTTTTGGCCGTGGGATGGCCAAGTGTGTGGGAGAAGTGTCACTAAGGAAGGGAAGTTACAGGCCCAGCAACAGGCACTGAAGTGTTCTGCAGTTACGGGGACTTCACTAGACATGCTGTGAGGCTGCAAAATGTCTCAGAAAAGAGATGAGAGCATGAAAATTTCAGCTTGAAAACTCCTGCCTAGGCTATGCTAGGTCTTTGTTTCTCACCCTCCTGTGAGAATCCCCCTGGTACAGCGTCCTCGTACTGCTGCTATGGGACCCCCTTCCACTAGTTCTACTGGGAAGTCAGTCATGAGGGTGGAGCCCTGGGTGGACTGAATTCTGCTCTATAAAAAAGCAGAGGGGCTTTCCTGGTTTGCACTCGTTCAAGTCCAGCGCAGTGAAAACACTTGCTCAAAATGAAGACTCGAAGAAAGTGATATCTTTTGTGGGTGTCAGGGGAATGTTTTCCAGAAATGCTGCAGTTAATTCTGCCTCTTTTCACCATTTCCATGACTTCACTGAGGAATGAAAGATTATCTAGTATTTCCCACTCATGTGCCCCGAATTCTTCTTTATGGATCTTCCCCACTCATCTGCCCATCCGACTTCCAGTGCTAGGCAACTGCCAGCTGAATCCCACTCTTTCCAGGAAGCTGTTCAATGGTGGGGGAAGCTGGCAGGAGACGTGGATTGCTGTGTGACCTTGGACACATTACTTCCCCTCTCTGGGCCTTGGTTTCTTTGTCTGTCAAAGGAGTGGCTGGATAGATATCCTATCAGCTGGGACAAATTATGGGTGGTTCTATAGAGAGCTACAGGATAGATTTCTTATTGTCGCCATCGTCTACCCCACATTTACCACTAAATTCCAGGGACTAGGGCCGTCACACTTCTGGGGCTGAGTTCATTCCTTATATCTGGAAGTTTAGAGCTGCATATTAAAACAAGCTGGGTATGTGGATACATGGATGCTATCTAGAATTGTTTTAAATGTTTTTTGTCTACATTTCCCTTAATTCCCAGAAAATCTAACGCATGGGAAATACCAATGGAAGGCATATTCTGGGAGAACTTGTGTGCATGTGTGTTTGCGCTATATAATAATCATGTTGATTATCTTTCATTAATGATAACCACCATTTACTGAGGCCTACTTTGTGCGAGGACTATGCCATGCGCTTTCACTTACATTATTATCTTCACAACAACTCAGAGAAGACCTTATCCACTCCTCACTCCCATACATCGTGGTAGTTGACCACAATTAACACGAGTGTGTACAAACCGAAGCCAAAATTACGCAACAGCACCCCTCCCCAAAGCCAAAACCAAAACCAAAGCAAAGCTTTGGCTGAGAGAGACTGAGACAGCTACTGAAGATCACACAGCTGGTGAGTATTGGCAATGGGATTTGAACCTGATTCTGCTAGATTCCAAAGATGATGATGTGCTACCCCCTAGCCTGTGCTGGGCCTCGTCTCGGCATTCTGTTCCTTTCTAGGAGATTCTTCCTACATTAAGGCTGTTTTAAAGATCCAGAGATAATAGGACTTAAGCTGACTGCCTTTCCTATGGCATTGTCAGAGGAAAACAGCTAGTCTCAGAGCCAGCAAAAACCCTGCTATCAGAAATGGCAGGACAAGATGCAGCTGTCATAGGAAATGAGCACAAGAAGGGTGGGAGAACCAGGCCCCCAAAGCAGCCCATTTCCAGTGACCATCTCCTTTGGTCATTTGCCTACAGAGAATTAGGCTGGCTTCTGCCCACAACCAAACTCGCTTCTAATTCTGCCACAGAATTAGAGCCCCTCACAATTTGTACAGATTCGGTCATCTGCTCCAGATGTTGTAAACTCCGGTGTTCCCAAGCCCAGGCAGGTATATGAATGAGCAAAATCGCCAGGAGGACACTATAGGAAACTGGCAAACACATGTCTGGTCAATGGGGACCACTGTGACTTGGCTCCAGCAGACGGTTGCTATGCATGTATGCAGGCCCAGAGCTGCTAACTGTGCCCTTTATGAATAAAGCCTGGAATATGGACATCCCTGTGAATTCTCCGGATTTTTAAATGAAGGCAACTAATTCAATTAAGAAAAGTGTACCTGACACAGTGAGGACCAAATAAAACATATTTAAAAGCTCTGTCTGATCTGAAGGTCTCTATTTGCAACCTTTGAAATTAATTTTCTTCATTTACAGATGGGGAAATGGTAGCCCAGAAACAGGAAGTGATTTGTCTGAGATAGCTAACTTGGGCTCAGGCCAACAACTCTCTTTTGGATACATACGTATAGAGACATATGTGTGTGTGTGTGTACATACATATATATACATACATACTGGATATTCACAAGTGAAATAGAAATGATTTTGGATTACCTGCTGTTGTGAAATGTCCTGCTTATTCTTCTAATGTTATTATACATTGGCAGTTGACCTCAATTAATATACTTATAACCCAAACCAAAGTGACACATTGGCACCTCGCCCTTAAACCCAAACCCAAACCAAAACTAAAATGAAAACCAGGAAGAAAGAAGCTCTTTACTTACGGTAAATGACAAAAAAGAAGAAAACAAAGTCCCTTCGTCATATCTGGATAATTTTGCCAGTACTCCTTCCAAGATAGTAACAAACTAGTAAAACAGCAAAAAAAGAAGAATTATTATTTCAAACTCTAATTGTTCACACCAAGGAGCAACATTCCCCAATCACACAGAGACTAGCAATGACCTCGCTCGGTTTTGCCTTCTATTATTTGATTCCCGCTTTTGGGGAAAGGAATAGATGCTTTCACACAGAAATATTTGACTTATCCGGCTTTCTCTTCATTATTATGTGATTGCAAATATAGAGTGTTACAGAAGTATAAAGTGACAAAATATTATTGAGTTGCATACAGCATGCGATAATATTAAATGCACTTTTCAAAATCCAAAACTGTGCAAAGCAGTTTTTACGTTACATATTAGCACTACATTTAATCCAATCTATTTTTATTTGTATTTTATCAGTAATTTGGGGGAAACAGAAGTTTAGCACTGGCAAATATAAATGTCTTCCCATTCAGCATTACTTAGTTAAAATTCTATAATTCATGAGGGTGACTGAAATAGCTTTATCTGACTTTTATGTTTTATTATGACTCTCGCTGCATGCGAAACGAGGGGAGAGGGGGTTTTCAGGATGGCAGAATTCCTTATTACCGTTTAACTTTCTGTTTCTAAAATCTAACTTTGTCAGGGCTGAAAAACAAAACAAACATTTTCCACATAACCTAGTGCAACGTCTGGGGACAATTTCTTATTAAGTTAACACATGCCACTTCATCGATTGATCTTCACACGGCTCGCAATCATCAGAAAAAATCATTCTGAGCCTGGGTGACGTACGATCTTATTTCCTGAGAGATACAAGTATCCAGCTCAACTTTTTAACGTGTTACATTTTAATGGAAATGCAGATATAACAAAGCGATGTTCACAATGAAACATTTCACCTGAAGCTGAAGGTTACCTTTGCAACCAAGAGTGTTATCATTTCTTTAACAGTTTCTTCAATTAGTTCATCTATTTTTGAATGGTATTGATGCTAAAGAACACAGAAAGACAAATATTAGCATGTTGGGGAGGTGATGGCACTGCATCCGTCAGTAATTTTTAGACAACACAATTTATAAATAAAGCCTGGCCTGCAGACCCAGTTTATTTCCATACTCCCAGAAGCAGCTGTAAGATTCTGACTCCAGGTCTTTGATAAAGAGAGATCTGAAGCTCTTAAAAAAGTTACCAGGCACATGGTTCCTCACCCAAAGCTTTTGATGGCTTTGATATGTGTAGATACATACACACGATTACAAATAGCATGCATGGATGGCTTCATGGCCTAGCAGTGTGTGGGTCTGGAACTTACAAAACAAGGTATCACAATAATTTAATACAGGGGATGAAAACTTCTCTTTGGAAAACTGCTGGGGGTTGTGGCTCAGAATTTGACCAAGACCACTGTGGCTGATTTTGCAAAAACTGTTCTGAAACCCTCTGATACTTTGGGTTCATGCCCCAGAGCCCACTAGTTCTATCTCTAGATGTTGACTGAGTACCAAGGCAAAGTGTCATTTTCTGAACCCCTGTAGCAGCCACTCATTTTCTCTATTCATGGAAAAGCAGACGCAGGTTTAGAGCCTCCACTAAGACTCCTGTTAAATTTTTCAATTTCTCTAAAGGCTGCTGTCGATTAAATTTAAATAGTAATTCAAAAACAAACCCCCACACAAACAAAAATCTGCTGTAAATGCCAGGAAAAGAGGAAAAGCGATTTCAACAGAAAATACTGTATGCCAGTTCCTTGACATTTATTAGATCATTTTAGTATCCATTTGAATTATTCTGTATTCCTTAATAAAAAATAACAATGCAAGACATTGCTATTTGGAAAGGAAAATGCACTTACCCACTTTTTAGCAAACTTTCAGAAGGATGATTAATTAGGAATAGAAAAAAAAAGGAACAGTGCAAATAAAAATTAGGACAAAAAGACACATGAGAAAATGAAAATTAAACAAACCATTCAAAAAGCTATGAAAACATACAGAAATAATAAGCCATGGGAATGTGGGTTGATATTCTGATAACTGGCAATCAGAATTAATGAAAGTGAGTAAAGGGATGTGAATTAAGTTAATTCAGTAAAAGTCACAGGGGAATTTCGCTTGTAATTGTGAGACCTGGATAAAGTCCCAGTGCAAAGTTAGGAAGTCAGGTCGCCTACGAAAATATAGTTCAGTTTCCTCATCTGTAAAAAAACAGATACTACTACTAACCACTCAGGACCAATGGGTGGGGTGGAAAGGGAAGCCAGTACAAATACTGCTTTTGGAAAGAGAATGAAGCAAACCCTGTTTAAAGATATTTAGCAGCTCTGTTCTTCTATTATTATTATTATTATCATTATTATTATTATCTTATTACTTATTATTATTATTATCTTATTACTTATTATTATTATTATTTAAAAACCATTTCCTGGTGGTCCTGTTCTCAGCCTCATAGATCCATTATGAAGATCGAGTGAGGATCAGATGTGAAAACATCTTGTCAACTATAACTGCAATTCAAATATTATTTGTTCAAGTTCATAAAGCAGAAGCTAAGGGTAAGAAGATATGGTCTTAATGCTCCATCTTCCCATTTTAGTTCCCTTTCAGTTGATTAGAGGAAAAACAATAAACCAAATGGTCCATGTTGTGTAGTCCTGATGAATCAGAACCCACGTTGGCTCTACTGCGAGCTTCACGAAGGGATTTACTAGTAAGTGGCATAAACCTGAAGCTAAATGCAAAAACTATCTGCAGAATTCTGTGCTAGAAACACAAAGAAAGATGTCAGAGCAAAAGAATTCAGGAATATTGACAGGGCTCCAAATTCATTTTTAGGTCTTGAGATAAGATCCAGTATCACATGCTTACTTTCCTCCTCATGTGACTGCCTCACTCTGCTTGATTTTCTTTGGATTACTATAAATGATTCACATTTATTAAATTAATTATGGGATTCAACTAACTCAGAAAAGCAAGTTGTAGGCAAAATAATACAATCTGAAATATTAAACGAGGGGCATCTAACCAAGCAAAGAACATCACTGAGAATAGAGACATTCTCTTGAAAAACTTGGGTGAAATGGCAAGCAGAGCCAAGAGCAGTTGTTTTCCACACATGAAGAAAGATACAGGCTCTTGGTCTGAGGTGTTAGTAACGTTACTCTTTCTTGAAAATCAAATAAGTTTTCTCTTCACAAGTGGGGGGAACCTCAAACCTTTTCATTCTGGAAGGAGTCCAAACTGAAGGATATGGAGATGTAGTGGGTCGATGGGACCCTCTTCCCGCCTTCAATTTTTCCATGCCAAACTTGGCCCTGACCTCCCCACAGAGAGTCCCACTGTCTCTTCACTCTAAACAAATATGATTCTCTCCACTCCTGTTCACATTTCTTTTTTTCTGTTGTGAAAAGAGTGTTTTGATATGATTATTCTGCCTCTTACTTCCAGAGGAAATTTGAACATGTCATTCTCTGCTGGTCTATTTCCTCCTCTCCTCAGTGGGACTAAGAATGACCCCTGTGAATACAGGAATCATATTCACCTAACACAGTAGTGAAACAATGCATGGAAATATGGTATAGAGACTGAGAAGCACTACATAGCGGTATTACTACTATTATCATTAACTGGTTAGCATAGTGGTTACATGCGTGTTGACATTTCTCTACACTCATGTAAAATCTATATATATTCTGTTGTATGTAAATTATAATCTGAATTAAATAAAACCTACTTTGGGAAAGATCGTTCAGCAGGGTAACATCCACTCTGTTTATCATGCATTAAAGTAGTATACACCAAAGCAGTCCCCATTCCTATGTGAGGAAGTACAAAATGCACGAATTTCTTTTACCAGAGTCTCCTGAGACTCATTTGATTAACTAGCTTTTCTGGGGCAATAGTGAGCACTCGACCTTCATTATGCTCTTTCTGGGGAGATTATTTGTTCCATGCACACGTGAAGCTCTATGAAGGGGTATAAACACTACCGGGGCATCTTTTAGGTAGCATTCCCCCAATAAGATAATCTTGTCACAAGTCTCTTGCAGTCCGTCTGGACTATCTAATTCCATCTGCATCTCAATATGGGTACAAAGAGGAATCCTTCCTATTTTTGCATTTTCCAGTTCCCTCTCTGGGTGTCACTGGATTGGCCTGACCCTAGTGGTAGTAGTGGTGGTAATAATAATAATAATAATAATAATAATAATAATAATAATACACATAAATTATATTCTGGGGCACTAGATCATGATAATAGCAAGGGAACTGCTAATCTTCAATGGTATGGAAAGTCTGGGAGTTCACTTCTGCTTCTGATGAGCTGAGCTGCGGCAAATTCACAATCACTTTGTAAAAATCATTCCACTTGACTTCCTGCACTGCACATTTTGCCTTGTCATGGAACAGATTGTGTGTATGTTGTCTCTCTGTTAAGACCATCTGACCTTGGAAATGAGATGAAAACACACTAGACCAAGCAAAAAACTAATACACAATTTCCTCTCTATTGGTGCTTTGCAAATTTTAATGAAAAAATAAATATTTAAGATGGAAAAGTGTGATTAACAAATGTTTCAATAGCTGCCTTTAGATGAGACTTTACCCTGGTGATGAAATTCAGGAAGTGATCTTAAGATGGGAGAATATTGTATCACCTGGCCAGTCACTAGTCTAAAACACTTTGAGAGAGTTGGAATCCAGGTGGAAGCAGGTACTATAACTAGATCTACATGTGAGCTTAATATTCATACTCACAAAGTGAAAACTATGCAAAAGCATCGAACTGCTACCTATTCTCCCAATTTCCAGTCATCCTTGGCCAATCTCATTTTTACAATTCAGTTGACTTTGGAGATGAATATCCCCATTCTGCAAAGTAAGAAAAATTAAGAAGAGACCATTTGCATGAGACTTCCCACTGAAGTTCTATTCAAGGTCACAGCTAGCAAGGTCCCTCAAAGGAAGTATATATTTGCAGAAAATGATGTCTGGCTTCGTTCTGACTCTTACTATTCTCAGTCATTTGGTATTCTAAGGTCAGCAGAGGCCTCTGTTTCCATGAGTTGGTCACACAGGTATTTCTGATTCAATTATGCTAAGGAGAAATGGCATAGCGGGGTCTCTCTAGCATGGCTTGAGAAACTGGCAGTCTTAGGATAAGAGCCACAGACTAGAATACAGTATTGGATGAGTCTTTAATAAAGCTCATTTGGTCTGGGAGGAGGGGTATGGGGGCTCAGGAAAAATGAGAAATGTTTATCAGCCTTGGTTATTGTTTTAGTTAAAAAAAAAAGCAGAAAATTGAATTATTTGGAGGGGATACATGAAGTGTTTTCTACTTTATCAAATAGAACAATGTCCAGAAAGAAGTAGGCATTGCTACTTAGCCTCAAAAATGTTACTATTTGGGCATATCCAAGACAATGTTCTAATCTGACATCCAGAAGTGAGGGAGGTTTATCCTTAGTTTCAACAAGCTCCATATCTCTCAAAGGTTGGGTGTCACCTGCTGTATCTCTCAAGTGACAAATGATGACAGTAAAGTTGTAAGAGTAAGGACTTGCTGAAGGTCACAGAGTTTGGCAGCTAAGGTATGGGCTCCATAATATGTACTTCTTAAGCCACTAGACAACCTGTTCTTCTAGAAAACCATGACCCCAAGTTTAAGCCAAGGTCATTCTACTGTAGCACTGAAGTGATCAGTGGTAAAGAAAAGAGCAGGATCCCCTTGTGACAAAATCAAATTGCTATTTTTCATCATATATCTCCAACTTAACAAGGTCCATAGGTCACCTGAAATGCAAAATTGTGGGAAAGTATTTTTTTCTCCTGGGCACTGGTTCCCTAAATTTTATCAAATTTTCAGTGGGGCTGTGACAATAACCCTTGCCACCCAACTCCCACTACTCTCTCCAAACCCCAGTTCAAAAAGAAAGAAGTTAAGATCAGAATGACTTGGCTTGTTTGGAAAGATTGCTTAGTATCTGACTAGGTATGTGGGAGTTCTTTAAATATGGCCACAATTGAGTCAATTTGAAGAGGGACTGTAAGAGCTGCTGAGGGGAAAGGAGGCCAGTCCTAGTGCAACACAATCCTTCTTCATCCTAGAATGCTGTCAGCCTTGTGAAACTCAGTTGAAAAGGACATCTCGGGAAACTCCAAGGGGAGAGAGATAGACTGGACTCCATCAAACTAAAAAAAATGATTGTGTTTTAAGGGATACTACCAAGAAAGTGAAAAAGACAACTGGCAGAATGGGAGAACATAGTTGCAAATCATATTGATAATGGTTTAGTATCCAGAATATATAAAGAACTCTTTCAGCTAAATAATAAAAAGACAATTTAATTTTTTAAATGGGCAAAGGATTTAAATAGACATTTCTTCAAAGAAGATTTACAAATGGTCAACAGACACATGAAAAGATGGTCGACATCACTGCAAATCAAAACCACTGTGAGATACTATTGTACACATACGAGGGTGGCTATAAGAAAACAGATAATAAGAACTATTGGCTAAGTTGTAGAGAAATGGGATTTCTCATACATTCCTGATGGGTATGTAAAATAGTACAGCTACTTTGGAAAACAGTTTGGCAGTTCCTCAAAAAGTTAAACATAGAGTGACCATATCACCCAGCAAGTTCAATCCTAGGTATATATCCAAGAGAGTTGAAAACATAGGTCCACATGAAAACATAGGCTCACATGAATACATAGGTCCACATGAAAACATAGGTCCACATGAACATGAATGTTCATGGCAGTGTTACTTGGAGTAGCTACAAAGTGGAAACAACTCAAATGTCTATCAACTGATGAACTGATAAATAAGATGTGGTAAAGCCATATAATGAAATACTATTCAGTATAAAAAGGAACAAAATGCTGATATATGTGACAGCATGAATCTTGAAAACATGATGTCATATGAAAAAACCAGTCACAAAAGGCCACATGAGATTCCATTTATATGAAATGCTCAGAATAGGCAAGTCCTTAGAGACAGAAAGTAGGGTGGTGGTTGCCCAGGGCTGGGGAGGGAGGGTTGGGGAATTATTATTCATAGGTCAGGATTCTTTTTAGGGTGATGGAAGAGTCTTGCAATTGATTGTGGTGATGGTTGCACAGCTTTGTGAATATACTAAAAACTACTGAATTGTATACTTTAAAAGGGTGAATTTTATGGCATGCAAATGGCATCTCAATTTTTTTAAAAAAGAGCTCAAGGGGAGAAAAATTCAGGAGGGATAGAATTTTGGAAAGTCTGAATTCAAAGGGATCTTAATGAACATTAGAGATCACCAAAAGCAGGGTTTCTCAAGTGGGCTCTGTGAAGCCCAAGAGACTTCAGGTGGGCAGCAAAGAAATGTAGAGGTGGAAAGGAACACGGTATCTTGAGCACAGGGCCCCTCTTCTTGCCCCCCTGCCCTTCACTCTATCCAGAGCAGCTCTCATTTTAGTTATTTCACATGCTGGCCTTCTTGGTAGGATTTGAAGAACTGATACTGCAACTCAAAATAGCCTGAATTAAATTAGAATAGTGTTATCATTTTATGGATGAGAAAACTAAGGCCCAGCTCATTTGCAGCACAGCCAGGGTAAGAATCCTGGTGGCTGAACCCCCAACCTGAGCCTTTCTCGGGGTGCTGTCCTTCAGGTGTGAGCCCTAATCTTAACTCCTTTTTGGACACTGAGCCTCCACACCAATGATTCTCAACCTGTGGTCTCCAGACCAGCCGGCAGCATCAGCATCACCAGGGGAATGGGTTAGAAATGCAAATTCCTAGACCACACCCCGGACCTCTCAGAAATCCTTGGGGTGAGACCCAACGATCTGGGTTTTGAGAAGCTCTCTAGATGAGTCTGATGCTCACTTAAATCTTGAAAACCACTGCTCCGGGTCACTCAAAGGCAGCACATGGAGCCATGAAACAGAACTGTGGACCCCTTGCATTTGCCCCTGGTGCCTAGACCATAACCCCTGAGCAAATGTCCCTCCAAAGAAAGTCAGTCGGGTGCAAGTACTAACAGAGGTGGCTGAGGAAGCTGATTAGTGGCGAAAGAAGGTTGGAGATGATGTTGTCAGGAAGAGAATACCACCAACCCACATTTAAAAATGGAAGGTGCCGATAAGAGAAAATAAATAACGAACAAGGAGCAAATATAATTTAGTAAGAATTCTGAGCATGTAAGGCTGGTATCGAAAGATCTGATTTAGGAGCAATTTATGCCAATTGGCATCAACATGAGAGTTGCCAGAAATGTTTCTGAATTAATTCTAAATTGGTATATGAATATCTAGCTGGCTTGAGGCCATCAGAGAAAAATGATCATGATAGTCTTTAATCAAGCCCGAGTTGCTGCTTCTTTCTCCTTTACATTTTAAATACCACTCTGGAATTGGAAACTTAGCAAAGGACTAACCTTTTGGTCAGGGAAGATTCACAATCAACTCAATCTAAGGAAATAGGAAAGTCTGTGATTTCTTAAAAATTCAGAACCTGCTGGCTGGGGATGGGGTAGAAGGGTGATAAACATTATATATCCTGGAGCTTGCTTGATGCAAGAAAGAGAGCCCTCCTGTGGTCCAGATGTTCAAAGTGATAAAATGCACTTCAAATGTGAAAATTACTTGCACTCTGGCAAACAGCTCCGTTGGAGATACCAGCCTAATAAATAAGGTCATTGCACGTTATTTGACTTGAAGGAACTTTACGGCCACCCCAACTCTAGCCAAGAATCACTTCCAAGTGACTGGCATTCTCATTAGCACATGCCTTAGAAATTTACTTACCAAACAGATACCAAACATTCATCTGTAGCTTAATCCACACATGTTAGAAGGATATTCTGAAACTAGCAGACTAGTGTAGATGGAAGGAATTTGTGAAGTTTTCTTTTACATGATCAATGGAGGGGGAAAAAAAAATCTGTATTTTTTTTTTTTTTTTTACCTCTTGGCCCATTTCCATGCTGCAAAGTTTTGTTGATTGAGCTTTGGCATCAACCATAACATTAAACATGGTGCATATTGACTGTGGGACTCGAAAATCTGTTGATCGACTGGTTTTTTGCAGCTTAACTTCAAATGCAATCCTGGTTCTATTAAAACAAAGTAGGAAAAGACCAATTCAGCATTCATGGCAGCAGGTGGAGGAGACATTTTCTGAGAGGTCAGTGAAAAAGAAAATTGAAGGCTGTAATCAGTTTCAATCGACAATGACTTCACATGTGTTCTTTTAAAAATGACTTTCCCAACTAAGGAAGGCCTATTCACGGAGACAGCCACGGAAACCCTCCCTTTCTCGGCAGTACACGGAACACCTGTAGCTCAGCGTGTTTCTGTCTATAGTTTACATGCTATGGAGATCCCTAATTGCAGGAGAATGAATGAATTAACAAAAACCCAATTATAGCATTATAGCATATGTAAGTTCTCTCACATTGGCAACTGCCTACCTTGAATCACTTCATTAAAAAAACAAAAAACAAAAAAGCAGCTTTTAATCTTCAAAATCTCATGGTGGGGAAAAAATCTTAAATGACATTTATTGTTTTTTTTTTTCCTTTTGGTTTTGAAAGAGACTGAAGTAAAAAAAAAGATCCAGTTGTTATATGGTTTTAAAGACTAAAAAAATTAGATAGGTACCTTTGGAGAGGAAAGTTAAATTAGGAGGAATGGTATCAGGGGACTTCCACACCATTTGTTGGCAATGTCTATTATTCTGCGATCAGAGAATATATCTCTCTATATTTTTAAGAGTATATATTTTTAGTAAGTGAAAATGGCACAATATACTTACCAATTCAAGAACTGTGTGATGGTGCAAGCTTAATGGGACATAATTCTGACATAGGTCAAATTATGATCCCAGCAACGTGCTAACTGCTCACAGGAAAAACCTAGTCGGACACGGCCAGCTGGTAATACAGGTGTGAGATTTAATCCTTGGTATCGGCATTGTAAAGGGGACCAGCTAGATTTTAAAAGGTTTTAGAGAAGTGGGTCACATCATCCCATGTCTTGAAAGAAAAGCACCTGGTTAGTAAGTGGTTTTATTAAAGCTCCTTTCGCCCAATGCATCTTTTCAGCATTGTTCGCCGTCAGGTTCTGGAGATCATGCAGCCACCAGGAAAGCATTGCTTCAAGAGGTATTAGTAGCAGTTTTCTAACAGTGCAGAGGAGGACCACACAGCTAGTTAGCTCAGGAAAGGATGCCAGCTTGCTAACACACCCTGAGTGCATGCAGGGAAGCCAAGTATAATTTCTAAGGTTGGAAGCCTAGTTCTTAAGAAAAAAAACTTAAAAGAAAAAAAAAAAAACCCTTAAAGCACTCCTATATATTATATGATCATGTTAAAGATAAATGTATTTTGGCTTCTAAAGACTCGGTGCATTGAAGTAGCTTTCTAATCATGATGATCATTTTAAGCTACACTGAAAATACATCCTTTCTGGTCTTGTGAAAAGGAGGTCTGATGGGGACTGAGTTGGACAGGTCCCTGTGCTGATCTTCTGAGGCCGGCACACCAGTTCCGGCCCAATTGGAGAAAGGGGAGTGCTACATCGTTCCCTTACAATGAAGCAAACATCTTCTGTTTTCACAGGGGAACTGTGTATTGCCCTTGGAGGGTGCGAAAAGAGGAAACCAAATGCAAAATTAGTATGACTGCAAGGGCTCCAGGGAGGAAAATGCCAGGGATGGAGAGGTTACTGAATTCAACGGACTGTCCTTGAGGACAGGGTTAGGGAGCCGGGTTTCGATGGCACACAGTATCTGGTATAGACTAGACTAGAGGCTCTGTCATGTCCATCGGATGAATGATTTAAATTTCCCAGAAACTTGGAAATGAAGAGTGCTTGATTTACTTTGGATGTTGTATATTTACATCTATGAAATAATGTCCTTATGGTGATGTCCTTCTAGAACGACGGCCGTTTATTCCGTCACAAAGAGGAAAGCATAGATTCTAGGCTCTAGTCACATAGATTCTATGTCTTAAAACATCCAAGGACTTTTTCATGTTTTACCCTCTGCATCTGGAGGTCAGGGGATGATATTTGCACTTATATTTGCAGTTGTCTGCTTTTGTCTGGGGATGTAATTAGAAGGGACATCAAGAAATTTAAGCATCTGATGTCAAGTGTGAATGTGCAGTTGATCAGCTTCTGTTAATAAGAGGTTACTCAACAGCTACTATGTGCCAAGCATAATACTGGGACCTGGGGAGGGCCAGGGGCTCAAAATAAATAAGATAAACTCCCTGCTGGTGAGGAGTTCACACTCTTTGAGGTGGCTGGCCACAAAGATTTGTGGTAACAGTCATTGTCTACCTTTCACATCCACATGTCTTCCCATTTTTCCCCTATCAACTCCCCACTTCCTACTCCCTACTCGAAAGACTGGCTTCTCAGAAGGGCATATCTATTTTTTTGTACAACTGTGTGCACAGATCAGAAGCCAGTAAGTGTTCATTCTAATGTGCTGCAGCCCTGACTACAGATCAGGAGAGAATTTTTCACCACAGGGGAACTGCCCCATAAGAAGTCTTTGGTGGAATGGTTTGGCTGCAAGAAAAGAGTTGCTTTTCCTAAAACTGATGGAGACTATATAGGAAATGATAGAATTCAAAATTATAAGGAAACATCTTGACCTTGAACAATAGGTCTGCCTTTGGTTTTAAGAGTAGGAAGAAAAGAACGAAACACACAATTTGGATTGCCAGGACTTTGAGCTTCCAGAAGTGCCGTCAAACACCTGCCCAGACTCCCCCCAGCATGTACCTCCTTCCCCAGTTTCTGCTGAGATGTTCACCTGCCTGGACCTGCATTGTTCTTTTGCCCTTTTGGGTTCCAGTTTTGATGTTATTACTTCTCTTTTCTTCTTCCAAGATATAAAATTCAGATCACTCCCAGACAAACCCAGCCCCCATCACCCACAACTGATCCATCAACGAAACTACACAACATCTGGAGATCTGGAGTGGCCTGCGCTGCTTGTGGGCTTTCTTTTTTTCTTTTTGTTTTGAATGAAGAAAAATAACGGAATGATTATGAACTGGAAAGGAACTTGGATGTGTGTCTGGGGAGAGACAGGGTGATGATAATGATGTTAAACCAGAGGAATTCCATCTCTGTGTCTTTTAAACACATCTAGATCCTCCAGGAGGGAAGGGATGTGGTCTCTCATTCTTCACGGCATGGCACACCAGGAATGTAGCACTGTGTCTGGCAGGTAGGAGAAGCTAAACAATCTTTGTTGACTGGATGCATATTGTTCTCATTTTCTTCTCTTCACCTTCTCAGAACACTCTACCTGAGAACTTCAAGTGCAGCATTCCCACCTCGACCCTATATGCCATGGCCACAAAGCAGGCAATTTGTAGAAAGTTCACATGGATGTTTAACATCTCCTGCCCCCTCACTGATGTCTAGTTAGATTTGGGGCAGGACAACTCAGAGTCGGCACAGAGTATGTGCTCAGTTCACGTATATGGAACAAATGATGTTGCTGAGATCCTGCTCACATTTCTGCAAAGGTACTCATTTCCTGCTACCTGTACCGGGTTTCCGGGCTCCAGAACTGTGCATACTTCTCTTTTCTCCATCAGCCATCCCCCTCACACACACACTTACACCTTACACACATACTTTCTAAGTAAATATTGTATGTCAGGTGCTGCTAGATACCAGGGATACAGAGAAGAACAAGAACAGACATGGGTCCTTTTCTCACGGAGCGAAGTGAAAAAACTGGCTACCGTATCGTGTGGGGTTTGGGACAGACGTGGGGCAGGTGAACAGGAGCTAGACTTGGGTGGCCACCGCTCCAGCTGACTTGGACAAGCAAGTACCTTCTCCAAAAAAAATCCAAATTATGGGCAATTGAAAGAGTGGCCACCTACCATTCTCTGAGTCAGAGTGTAGTGGGGAAGGCGTGCGGGGCCCGTCCAGCCACCAAGGCTTACCTTTTGACACAAGATTCAATCATGTCACTTGCCATCAGCTTCAGCCGTTGTTCTAGGTGCTTTCCAAACTCTTCCTCAGGCCAGTGCAAATCCCGAATGAAGGTCTGAAGGGCATCGAGTTTCCAGAACAGATCTTCTGAAGTGCCTGATCCATTACTGGCAGGATAAAAATTAGAAAACGAGAGTCACCCACAGGCTTTGGATTCTGGAAAAGCTGACACAAAGACAACTAGGTGCTAGAAGGCTTAAGGCAAACAGTGGCTTGAACATACAAAACGACGCGTGTTGGCGGTGGAGGTGGGGGCCATCTCCACCGGCAGATTTTGAGTTTTACCATACATGACTTAGTCTGCTTTGTTCGGCCAATTATTCCAGACCAGTGAGAAGTCTGAGGAAAGAAAGTTGTTGCCCCACAATGACGAGGAGAATGGTGTATGGTAAAAATCAGCCTTCTTTTAATAACCACATTAACACATGTGATGATTCAGATGAAGGCCACGAACCAGAGGGAGAAGTCAGTTTCAACAGATAATAACTACATGGCATCATGCAGTTATTAAAATTCAGGGTTTCATGCACTTCCCCAGCTCCCCTCCAGAACGGAGGTGTCTTGAAGATTGCACAAGACTTTCAGTTTTAAAAGGACAGTGCTAACAAAGTGGTGAGCGAGGACCTGCTTTCTCTCTTGAAGAGCTGGAAAGAAACTGGGGTGACTCAAATCAAGACGAGTACATCTGGATACCTTGAGTCCAAGATTCTTGTTCAGTTTGGTTCTCACTCCAATTATCACAGACCAGCCTGTTGCATAGGCAGCCCCAGGACGCTGTGGGGGTGGGGGGTGATGAGCCAACAGGGGATATTTGCAAAACGTTAGGGCTCAAAACCTGAGCTCTTTTTACCATTGCACCACCTTACCCAGTCGCCTGTACAGATGGAGAAATTGGTCTTGATTCCCTTCTGTACAATGAAGTCTAAGAAACTTTTACCTGGGGCATCCACGGAAAGCCTGTGTATGGGAAATGCTCCATCTCTCACCCTCTTGTCTTTCTCTGGCTGGCTTTCCCTTTGGTTAACAGTCCCCTTTGGAGCCCTGAGGAGTGGCCACCCACCCCCCTTCCTCGCATACCACTAATGCTAACATGGTAATTTATAAAATGTCCAACACACCATGCATTACCACTTGTTCTGACATCGTCTATAGAAACAGATGAGAGTGGGTGTTTCTATTGTGACAGATGCCAGCTGCATTGAATTAATGCTTCAGAGAGAAATATAGCTAGTGCATAAACGCATACACAGCTACTGTGGGGTGGGGAGGGGGCAAACTCCCAGCATGCCGAGAGGGAGCCCAAGGCCTGGACCAACAGGGTAAGGTTTCCAAGGACAGACCAGTCTGAGGTCAGTATGTAGATGTATCTGACACGAAGGAGCAGGTAACATGGAAACACGTCCTTAAAAATGAAAAGTGGCAAAGGAGGAAGCTGGAATTATGAAAAGATATAGAATCAGGCATTTCCTGGCGGGTGATTGAGGATCTACGCCTTCTATTCAGATCCTGCCATAAGCACCGTTCAAAAGTGGGGGAATGCGTTATTTCTCCGTGAAAGTTCAGCCTTCCCCCTACTCCCCATCCTATGCTTGGGAAAAAGAAACCCCAACTTTGTCTAGTCTAAACCCCGTTTTGGAACTGCATGGTTGTATGTTTTAAATCATTAAGTACATATGAATGCAATAATTGGTATTTATTACAACAACATTTTGACACCCATCTGGTTTCAGAGTTTCAAAAAATTCTTCTAGGGTTTTTTTTTTTTTCTTTGAAGAGCTTATTATTAAGTTTTGACATGAGGAAAAGAATATTTTCTTTTTATTTTTAAGATAAACTGTTAATGTTAAGGCAATAGCACCAAGACTATTTTGATTGCTGAGCAGTTACCAAAATGTGTTCCCACTCATGCCTTAATTAATTGAATGGAGACCATTATCTGCTTTATTACAATGTCTTGATTCATATCTTTTCAAAAACAATGTCACAGAGCATGCATAGAAGAAGGTGAGAAAAGCTTTCAGATATTTATATTTTAATTTTTAACAGACTACCTAATCTAACTTTTGATATAGTCATCTTAGCATGAATATGATTTACTTTTTTTAGAAGAATTTTTTTTCAGTTATAAATTTTTGGAGGTTTTAAATTTGTCTTTAAAAGAGAATCAGACACATTAACTATATGATTTCATTGTGCACTTGTGAACGAATAGAGGTTTTTAAAAATGTTGGGCAACTTCGAAGCAGCCAAGTAGAGCAGTCATTTAACTCCCTGTTTCTACCTGGATCACTGCAGAAATAAAACTGTTGAGGGCCATCTTGATGAATGTGATTTCGAGATTTCAAAACATCACTGCTAGTTTCAGATCATTTTTTATTCCTTTGATAATAACACTTTCCTTTGAAAATGTGCCAATTTATTCTTTCAAGAAAAAGCTTATCTGGCCTATAATTAGCTGTGGTCTAAGAAAAGGATCAAAGGAGGGTATAGAATCACTAAACCCTATTTCACTTATTAAATCATGCACATGGTTTTAATTTAATTTCCCTGAGGTAGAATTTAGGGGTGCTGGATCTTCTTCTTGCTACGGGAAAAAAAGAAAGTGGGTTCACTTCCTAAGCTAGAAGTGGCAGCTCAACCTCGACCCCTGAGCTCCTGCCTTTAAAGGGGCGGCCAGGCCTCCCCAAAAGACAAACCCCATGCATTCCTGGCATTTGTATAGATGAATGTAAAGAATGGCCCTATCCTCATACCACAGATGATACAGCTATTGCAAAATTTAATTATTTGTTGTTTGATTCTTGCATTCTCAAATTTAGATATTTTCTTGCTACCTAGATCCCAATGCTCCATATTGCATTATGACCTTGGAAAGTATCTTTACATAACATAGACATTACTAAGGCTTGATCCATTCAGAAGTTTTCATTTAGCCCTGAACATACTGTTACTATATCCTGCCATTTGCTGACACCAGAAATATGCTTTATGGTTTAAACAGTCTCTAGGAATTTTTTATTTAAAGAAAACCCCAACTTCTAGGTAAGTGTGCTTTCCTCTTAGATTTGGATCAGGCCAGAGATGACTGGACAGCCCATCAAAGAGGTTTCTTGGACTATTTTTGAATGAAGAACTCCTAGAGTCATGGCACCTGAATTAAAAAAAAAAGAAAGAAAGAAAGAAAGAAAGAAAGAAAAGCAACAACAAAACCAAAACAAAACATGGGCAGTCTCCTTTTGCAAAAGAATTCAGGAAGTGAAACATAGTCCTCAAGCGTTCAGTGGGCGTAAGACAAATTGTTAGTGCTGTATATATAGCAAACGTCTTACAAACACACTGCATGCCAGAAATAAACAATATTGTCTTTGTATGATCAGCAAAATATGTCTAATTATCCATCTCCATCTCTGTTATATAGGATGTATAGAAATAAACAATACATATCCATGCCAAGATCACTTAAATTTAAATTAGATCTAATGTGAACTGAATACACACTCAGCATCATATATAGCAGCCATCCATGACGGTGCCGAAAAAGTAGGCATTTGTGGGATGCCTAGAGGGATGTTAACTGGTAGATTTGGTACTTTGGGAAGGTTCACATTGGGTAGGTTCACATTGGGTAGGTTACTGGTTAAACTCCTGTGGAAGAAACAGACAGAAAGAAAAAATACCATCACAGTGACAATGCAGATGTGGCAGAAGCACATGAACAGTTGTAAATAAATTGGCTAAGTCCACAGCAAGACAACAGTGAAAACTCAAGCAACACACTTCAGAAGACAGCGTATGGATGGGGAGCTCTGGTGCGGTTCAGGATTCAGAGAGAAATGACAAAAGTGAATGGAGAAAAATTAACCACAGAGTGACTTAAAAGTGTGGAAACTCAAAGACACCCATACACAATGATCACATTATTTAAATGCCGTGGTGAGGGGCTTTTGGCTTCCAAATCTACCGCCGTGAGAGTCTAGAACTTGTCTGACGCCAAGAACTTGAAGTTCATGGAATTCTTTTTTTTTTTTTTAAAGATTTTTTATTTATTTATTTGACAGAGAGAGACATAGCGAGAGAGGGAACACAAGCAGGGGGAGTGGGAGAGGGAGAAGCAGGCTTCCCCGTGGTGCAGGGAGCCCGATGTGGGACTCGATCCCAGGACCCTGGGATCATGACCTGAGCCGAAGGCAGACGCTTAACGACTGAGCCACCCAGGCGCCCGAAGTTCATGGAATTCTTGGCATTGGTGGAGCTGGGGCTGCTGGGGAAATAGCTGGGGTTGATTAGCGATAGTGGCGCATTTTCGTTTTCTTTTATTCATAAATTATTTTTGATCGAGGCACATTTCTCAAGTCAGATATTAGACACAAGGCATGATGGGAAGTTCACCCACTTGAACACATACTTTCCAATTGTTACTTCTGAAGACAGGTGTATGTGCAACAGGGTGTCATAGTTGATGGCAAAGATGAAGGAATTGTATCAAGAAGAAGGATTAGCTTTGAATAATTGTACAAAACCACTTAAAGAAACGTCCTCCCTCAAACTAAGTCCAATTAAAATGGAGAACTGTTTACACACGTAAAAAGACACCTAGGAAAAGAGAAGAATCCCAAGCTCCCCTCTAATTCTAAATGCTTGGAGCACGAGTGGATTTCAAATGTGGCCTTGTGTTAGAGTAGTCACCCTTGGAAGTGATATAGAGACTGGGAGAAAGGAAGCAGGGCTTTAGAGGTGCTGGGGATGTTCTGTTTCTTTATCTGTGTGATTGTTACAAGGGTGTGTTCAGTCTGTGAAAGTTAACCAAGCAGCACATTTTTCTGTAAAGTGTTAAAATTAATAAAAAGATAAAAAATGTGACCTGCATCAGTTCTTTGTTTTTTGAACGAAGATGGATCAACTGACGTGATGGAGAGATGGATAACTTTATGAATAAAGAGAGAAATAAAACAAAAACAAAACCCCAACTCGAATCGAGCGTATCTCTGTGGAAGGACTGTGGCATTTACTCTCCACAAACTGGCACCGTGTGTCTTCTGTAGTGGCATTTTAAGGGTGCTCCATCCAGCCAAAGTCACTGGCACGGTAGAGCCCAGCCTAACTCTGCATCTGAGAGGAGCCTTCCTGTTTAAGTGGAGTTGACAGAACTTTGGCACGGGAGTTGAGGGTTTCTTTTTGGATCTTGCAGAAGAGCAAGTTTTGCCAAAGCAGCTCTGCCCCGGGCAAGCTGTGTTTGACTAACAGAACTCTTGCAAGGGCTGGAGCTGCCTCTGGGCTTGCTTAGCAGGGCAAGCCTCCGGATAAGTCAGAAATCCTGGAACCTACAGAGAGTCTGGACACCTGCCTCCCTCCAGAAACAAGTTACTCTTTCCCAATGGCAACACGGATGGAAAAACCTAGAATGCAAAATTGCCAACCTGGCATTCTTTCCTTAAGGGAAACAGGTGTCACACGGGTTAGTTCTTTACACTTCACATTTTGGGAAAGCCAATTACACTTCTCTACTTGGGATGAGAGGGTGCTCTTCTTGGAACGGTCAAGAGATTAGCTAAAGAGGACTATGAAGTAGAAGGAACAATGGAAATTTTCTTCGATGTTTCTCTGTTTAACTGGAGAATCTGCCTCTGAAGTCAGTCCCTGGTGGCTCTCAGACTTAAACACTGCCATGTAACAAAACCGTTGGCGATTTCCGTGAAGACATGTGTAAGCCTACATAAGCAAATGTGATCATTAGATGATACACACACTGAATAATGATCAAGGAATTAGGAGATCTTTAGAGATGGCAGCCTGGCAAGTTAAAATGTTAATTCAAACAAATTAAAAGTAGCTAGGAATGAATAACATACAGATGTATGCAAAAGCAACTTAATTTAAACATATTAGTGGATGGTGGGTACACAAATTAGAAATGAGCTTTGTTTTACATATGCAAATTTGAAAAATACTTATATTAATCAGAACATACTGTATTTGTAAAATATGACATTTTGGCTGGACTACTGTGCTGGACTCATGTAGAAACATTTCCTTCATGTGACATACTATAATGCTCTATGTTTAAAAGACTAAAAAACATGCTTGATATTTCTGTTTAGCAAAATAATAGCGTGTACTATTAATGTTACTGATATTTTATTTGGATATTAATAACTTATATTAATAGTCAAAGAGGCAATTCCAAACATAATATACATGTGAAAAGGGAGAATTTTCTAGTAGCACATGGGTCAGATCAGGCTCCAGGAGCTGCTGATGGATATAACAAATTATTATTTTAGAGGGCCCTTCAGCAACTACCTAAAAACAAGTCCATCACATGCTTCTCTGTGAGAATCATAATGGGATATCTCTGGATAGTATAAAAAGTGTGAACTGCAATCCTAACAACTGATATATGTTAAAAAATAGACTCATTCTGGGGCACCTGCCTGGCTTAGTTGGAGGAGCGCATGACTCTTGATCTTGGGGTTGTGGGTTTGAGCCCCATGTTGGGGGTAGAGATTACTAAAGAATAAATAGACTTAAAAAAATTAGACTCATTCACTGTGGGGACTCTGCTAAGAAAGGATAGATAGCACCTATTCAGGTCAAATGCGCATCCCTGGGGCACTGGATTAAAAAGTTCTCATCTGTTCTCTCTCTCTCACACGGATGAATGTCACAAATGTGCATACCTCATTTCTATGGATGAAACGACTAGAGGTAGAGACATCCCTCACTTCTGGAATAAATTCTAATCAAGACTGTGTCTCCCTGCAGAGATGATATGGTCGGGTATTCTCTCAAATACTTCTGGATGGGGACAGATTTGAGATTCAGAATGCCTCCCACTTTATGAGCCATTCGTTACATGAATGTACATCTTGTCTTTTGTTGCTCTGGACCCTAAAGACTTTCTCTGTGCTTATCCTTAGGTTAATCCTTAGCTTGGGGAGGTGGGCACTCTCTGATATCTTCCTATAGTTTAGAGTGGTGTTTCCCAATCTTTTATTCATTAGCACCATCAGGCCCCCAACTGCCTTCCCCATGAGAATTTAATACCATCAATACACTGTAGGTCTGTTTATGTACTCTAGGTAGACCTGTGCTTTATACATATACATGACAGGAGTAAAATTTTTTTTTTGCCCCTCTGCCCTGCCAAGAACCAATTTTTACCAGCCTGGGAGCTGTAAAGCCCCTGTTTGAAAAGTATGACCTAGAGAATAAAGTTCTAAACTTCATGGGCTTTTAGAACCTCCCAATCAACTTTCCAACCTATGGCTTACCTCCCTCCTCATTTGTGCTGGCCAAACTCAAACATTCACTGTTTCTATCACATACCCTGCTTTCTCCCACATTTCTACGTTTGCTCATGCTCTTCCCAAGCACCCTTCCCCTTTGGAAATCTTACTCTCCAAGCTATTTCCTTCGTGACTCCTCAGTGGAGATTCATTCATTTCTACTCTATGATCTCATCATTCTTTGTTACATTATTTGTACAGTGGTAAATATTTAAAGTCATTTTTCTTGTGTGTATGTTGCTCAGACCCAGCCAGATTGAAATCCCTGACCAGGGGATTATATCTTTTCCTTTTCCTCCTCCCCATAGTTTTCCTACTGTAGCCTTATAATTTTCAGGCTGTATGGTTCCTTAATAAATGTCAGTCAGTAAATATTTATTGAGCATCTTTTGTGTCCCAGGCCCTATTCCAGGTGCTAGGGAGGCAGTGGTGATCAAATGGCAGGGAGTGAATATGGAAAAATCACATTTTCTAGAATGCTAAGTGTTGAAAAAGTCTTGGGTATTCAAAATCCTTGTTTTACAAAAGAGGGTACTGAGGCTTGGGAAAATCATCTGACTTGCCCAAGGTCACCCAGCAAGTTAATGTCAGAGTCAGAAGTGCAGACTCCTCCAAGTCTAGTACTTTTGTATTTCATACCAGGTCACCTACATGTTGCTAAGATGTCTTTGGTCTGATGGTTTATGATCATTAAGATATCAATATCCTTGAAAATCTGGAAAATGGAAGTTATTTTAAAAATACTTTTCATATGTATATCTCAGGCAGAGAGAGATAGCGTGCATTTTGAGAAATGAGAAACAGGTTTTTCAGTGTGCATATATCAAGATCAGTGTTTAGTGCAACCATTCAGAACCATCCTAACCTGAAATGGGCAACCATGAAGCACGGATTCTCTGTGCCTGGAGGTGTTTGAGTGGAGATTGAGAGAAGGTCAGTCAAGGAGAGGGTAGTGTGGAGTGGGTACTTGGTACTAGTCCTGGGAAGCTTTGGATTGCATGCTTTCTAAATTTGCTTCCACACTGAAGGCCAGAATGACTTGACTAACAAGGAGCCGATTCTAAAAATCTGGTAGAAATGTTGTCCAACTGCCAGTTAGGAACAAAAGCTTTTATTCAGGCTATGGGAGAGTTGTGAACAACCTGTCCAGCAATGGTCCTATGATGTGTCCTCATGGACACCCACGAGAGGGTTATGGGCTCTAGCTTGAGCCTGTTCTTGACAGGCTGACTATCTTCAGCTATGGTTAGAAGCTGTGTGACGACATTTTTCACAAATACACTGAGATTCTAATTATGACTGCATCTGGCTTAATGGAAACAGAGATGCAGCTGCCCTTTCTCTCCGTGCAGAGATGGGCAGCCACCTTTCTAGAGAAAAGCAGCAATAGGACTTGGCCATTTGACCCTTTCTCTCAGGTAGCTTCGGTTGTATTGAGCCCAAAGGACTGTATCTCTGTTTTATTTTATAGGTCCATATTTTGAAATAAGAAAATCTGAAGAATAGAGAATATTTTTTGATCTATTTTTAGCAAGCTCAATATATTAGTAGCATTTTCTTGCCAGAGTGCCATTTTTCTTTAATATTTTGAATGCTAGTTTTTCTTTCTTTTTTTTTTTTTTAAGATTTTATTTATTTATTTGACAGAGAGAGAGAGAGCACAAGTAGGCAAAGAGGCAGGCAGAGGGAGAGGGAGAAGCAGGCTCCCTGCTGAGCAGGGAGCCCGATGCGGGGCTCGATCCCAGGACCCTGGGATCATGACCTGAGCCGAAGGCAGCCGCTTAACCGACTGAGCCACCCAGGCGCCCCTTGAATGCTAGTTTTTCTTGAAGTAAGCTTTACAATGCATTTCTCAGTCATTTTACCTATAATCAAGTGCCTGTAGTCACAACTTTTGAAAAATGGAAGGACAGAAGTACTTGAGTATAACAATTATTTGAGGGAAAGGTTATGTGTGCATGCGTGTGTATGCGTGTGTGTACGTACTGGAGGGACACATGTAAGAGCAGAGAAGGTTGAGCGAACTAAATCTATGTATCTAAGTCAGTTTCTTTTTTTGAGTAAGCATAATAAAAAAAAATTACAAAAAGGTCACCCTTGACTTGGAAAAATATCCAAAAAGGAACATGAATCTCTGCTTCTTCCCTAGCAGTCAGATAAAAGCTTGTATGTTCTCTTCACCTGGTAGGAAGTATAGGGAGACTCATTCTTCTTAGCACATAAAAGCACGTGCCCAGGCTCTTTTTACCCTTCATTTTGTGCCAGCCATTCTGTTAACTCTGTCATAGCATCCACATTCTGTTTACAAATCAGCTAATAAAATGCGTGTTGTTTCAAAGTATTGTAATTTAGTTTACGTTTTAGTCGGCACTTTCAAATACCTCTACGTACTCTAAAAGGCACGTACTATTTACCATTGAGTTGAACAGACCACAATCACAGTCACTAACCAATGGCACAGTTTGGGACAGCAAAAAGCTACTTGAGGAAAAAACAAAAATACAAAAAAACATCTGCATCAAACATTCCCAGGTTATTCTTCACAACCATTAATCCTTCCCTAATTTTCAGGTCTTTAAATTACTGGTCCAAGAGTTCAAATTTTATTTTTTAAGCATTAAAAAAAATCCCCAACAAAAACCTTCCTTGACTAACACTTCCAATCGTGAAAATAATTTTGATTCTACCTTTATATCTGATGGTATCAAGAATATTTAATACTTCAAGAGGAATAGCAGTTACTTGCTTGAAGAATTTAACAGATTATAAAATGACATTGGTGACATTATCACAGAGCTTCATGACAATTCTCAGACACTGAGTAGGGACACTTTAAAAAAATCAGTTTTACAGATGAGAAAACAGTTCATGGAGTTTTCAAGCCTTGCCTTCTGGCTGGTGAGTGGAGGGCAAGGCCCTAACTCTGGGGCCCTTTAAGAAATAGTGACAGATACAAATCATTTCCTCCCATGTGGTCCGTAGTAGCAGCATCCACGTTTAAACCCAAGTAAGTAAAAGCAATTTCAAGACCATTACTGTTTTGAAAACGTGAACATTACTCATTTGAACCTTTTCCTTTTCTCAGATGTTCTCTACAGCACAACTGTCTTGAATATAATGAGCATTAAAAAAAATACAGTCGCTTGTTCATGCTTTGTCATTAAGGGACCCAGTTTAATTCTCATGAGTTAAAAGTCAGCAGGGCCATATTAAGAGATGGTATAAGCCTGAGAATAACAAGATAAAATTTAGATTTCTTGGTGCTTGCAAATGAAGAGCAACTGCCCATTAACCTGCTCTCAGTGGGGTAAGTCAAGAAACTCCTCTCGTGACTTAGACGTGGAAATGGCGGGGGTGGGGTGACCGAGAAAGCTATTTTGCACAGGTTTCTTTATCAGTTAGAGTCATGCAGTAAAATATTAGAGGAAGAATCTCAATCCAGAAAACTGCTTAGAGGTAAGGTACAGGTCAAGTCTTGTAAACTGAGGAAAAGAGTTTTGAATATTTGTTCTGGAGTGTCTCAAAGTGTGCTGTACATAGCTCCCATTTTGCTCTATACTGGTTGCTACTTCCCAAAGATGTAAAGGACTAGAAAGAACAAAATGCTTTTCTTACATAAAAGAAAAAAAAGAGTCAACAGGGTAAACCTAATACCAGGCTTTATTGGAGCTTTTCAAACCATACCAGAAAATTCTCTCCACCTAGGAGCCTACTATGTCTCTAGAAAGGGGAGCCTGAGACTGACCCTCTGGCAGCCCTGAGTCACAGCCCTCCCCCTTGCTGGGAAACAGAGGTGGCACTGAATCTGCCAGACATTTTCAAATAAGATCTAAGATTTGTTAAGCAATTGTGGAAATTGCCAAATTCACACCCTACAGGATTTCCTATCATTGGTCCTACAGGATAGATATTCCCCTGGGGGAAAAAAAAAGTAGCTAAATACATTTAGGAAGCTCCTGGTGAAGCAGAGTTAAATAAGGGTCTGTATGACTATGTTCTCCGGGTTTTCCAATATGCTGTTGTGCTTTGTGGTTCTCCAGGAGATATGTGTGTGGGGTGGATGAGTGGGGTATCTAGAGTTTTCTAAACATATCTGGCCATGGAGTTCTTTTCTTGAGGTGTGTCTCAAAGGCCTAGACCAGGAAATGGCAAACTATAGCCCATAGGACAGCCTCCTGTTTTTGAAGGTAAAGTTTTATGGGAACACAGCCACATTTGTTCATTTGCTTTTTGTCTCTTTTTGGTTTTTCACTACAACGGTAGAGCTGAGAAGTTGTGACAGAGATTGTGTAGTTGAAAGGCTAAATATTCACTATCTGGCCTTTTATAGAAAAAGTTTGCAGACCCCTTGCCTACACCCCTATGGAACACACTGTGGGAAACATTATTCCTAAGGATATCACCACTGGAGTAAGATACACAGTACAAACATCACAGCCAAGTTTATATCCCTTATTTCTTATTTATCTTGTTCAATAAAACAAAGATTTCCTTTTATAAAACATTTCTTAACCTCCTCCCACCTCCCCTGCTTTGGACAAGGACAGTATGAGCATCACAGTTGGAAACATGTACAGTGTTTCCTCTCTGTCCATGCTAACAATAAAAACTATAAGACACCATTAATCCATTTCTGTATGACTCTCCAGCCATTTGCACCCAAACTCCAATGGTATCAAAAAAGGTTTCCTTACTTGACTGGTTCCCATGACTCCCGCTCAAAGCCCCTGTGAATGGATTGTGCAATTGAGGACTCCATCAAATCCACATATCTAACCACAAGTGGGGCAAACAGGTCTTGCAGGTGTTTGTGAAATTTTCCATTGCACAAATTATCTAGAACAGATAAGCAAAACCTTGGTAAGAACCTACAGTTGCTTTATCAGCATACGATGTACATACAGAAAGGATTATCTTCTATATTAAATATACTGCTTCTAGGGGATGCAAGAAAAAAGGGGGGTATAAAAGCACATGAACAGCACCGAAGCTCATGATTAGATCTGTATGGAAGGAAAATGGAGTTCAAAAATATTTCACCCATTTGTTTCATTCTTCTAAAAAGGAAAAACAATCATGCTCCTTTAAAAAACAGTAAAAACAATAACCGACAACTGTTTTTTAGGTTTTCTCCTTGTACCGGCTCCCCTTCCTCCCATGACATTAGCAGAAAGAAAGAACATTCTGTACCCCTCCCTTCCTTCATCATCTTCTTGGAAGGAAGGTCTATTTTATGCCTATGTATTGCTGTAAGATACTGAAACACTTGGGGTGTTATTTAGCTAGAAATTGTTTTTCATCTAGAAAACATCTTTCAATAAAAATTTCAAAATATGAAGAGGTTAAGTTAATTAGCTTGTTCAAAAGCAAATAAAACACATAGGCATGAATATCGCTTATCATACTGCTCTTGGGTTCTTTTGCCTAGTTAAGAGAGGGCTTCGGTGCAACAGAACATTTGTTGAAAGAAAGAGAAGGGCCATCAGCTGTAAGTTTGGTTTTTTTAAAGCAATAAGAAAACTCTGAAGAGGTTTCACTAGACTGTAGTCTGACTGGGCCAAAGACATTTTAGTGATCTGTTTATCTGCATACTACTTAGGAAAGTCAACCAGTCAAAGATAGTACATACAGTCGGTACGGAGAAAATCATTCAGCAGTTGAAACAGTGGAAAACTGTCCCACGTGTCTGGGGGCTGAACCTCTAATGCTGCATCCATGTCCACTGCAAAAAGTGACAGGAACGTCTCGGCATGCTCCACCATCAAGTCTGACCACCACGCGAAGGCCTTTGAAATTTGGCAGAAAAACAACAGACAAAGAGGCGATGAGCTTCTCTCTCCGACCTAAGATGTGAAGTCAAGCCCTCACTGGTCAAGATTAACTGTGCATCAGCAGGGTTTGGTAATTTTATTGTAAAAAGAACAGCATTTTTGATACAATGGGGCCTCTCAGCGTCCCAAGGCCATGCCTTTTCATCATTCCAGGCCTGCCTCAGAAAGTCTTTATTCTGACCTGCTGGTCGAGGATGCAGCTGTAGAAAGGACAGACGTGGAACTTCTGTTCAATTTACAATAACCCAGTAGGTTTGGAGTCATGCTCTTTGTCATTATCGTTGGCTAGCTCTTGCTCTAAGGTATTCGAATTTGGGAGTTTCTTCACTGTGTTTATGGGTTTTCTGCTGGTCTAACTTGAAAATTTGCAGTTAGGGTTCACTTATATCTACATATCTGGGCTTCATTGTCTATGGTCTCATACAAGCTCAGCAACTCATATTTCTCTATGCATTGGTCATGTTACTCCTATTTCATACCAGGTCACCAAACGTTTGAGTCAAAATCTCTTTAAGCGGGGAGCCTCTGGTTTTGCATCCTGTCTCTAGGAAAGATCAGGTGTAAGCTAGGAAACAGTAAGATTAGGACTTACTTTTCTGGGGGTTGGACACATATGTACATTGAAAACCAAAAAATATCAGTGAAGTAACTCATTTTCATGCACGTGGGTCCTTGGAAATCATTGTGCAGGGTCTCAGGGGCAACATTCACATCGGACTGGGCCAGATGTGAATGCCATTCAAAGGCATGCATGCATGGTGACTAATCATTTCTGGCAGGGAGCATGCAGAATGAGTGACGGTGTCAACAGGCCCCCCCCCTTTTTTTACTGATTTCAAAGAGAGCAGAGAAACAAAAACAAATTGCCAGCCCCTGCTTGTCCCCCACCTCCCCACCCAATGCCGTAAAGTATTTACATTGGAAACACTTTCCGGAGCATTCACCGAAAAAAAGATGGGAAGGCATTTGGAAACATGAAAGATGATTATGGAAATAATTCCATAAATGAAAGAGTTTGTTCAATGGCCAAGCTCTTGTGTGATTTATTAGTTATTTGGGGATATTCTAACAGCCACTAGGAGGCAGAATAGGGGTCCACCTCTCTTCTTTCATGAGATTTCATTTTACTTACTTCTCCTTTATCAACATGTGGCTGGTGTGCAAATTAAATGGAAAAAATCAAGTCATGGACCATTCTGCAAGGTCAGCTTGGCTGGAAATAGACACCTGCTGTTTCCATTTTAATTTACAGTAAAACCTCACTGATTCAGAGAATGAGAGAAGAGAAATGCTCATCTGTCAGCAAAAAAGCTAACTTACGGGGTTTTCTAAAAAGAGGTATCATTTCACTGCTTTCAAATGCAGTCTATAATTGGGCACCAAAGTAAAAGGTATTTGCTGGTTACCATATCGATGTATCATAAATGTAGAAATTTAAAAAAAAATTCTAATAATTGTAGACAAATTGACCTATAAAGTGATGTCAAAGAGACAGAAATTTTAACTTCAGAGGTCCTGATATGAAATTTATGAGCGAGCCTTTAGAATTTCCAGAGAGAGTTGAGATCACGTCAAACATTCTACTTAAGAAAAATTATAAGAGCTGCATCTGCAGTTGAATTGTCACAAGCATTTGTGTCTGAATCGATGAGGTTTTATTGTAGTTTTACTAACTCGGTGTGAGAGCCCTGGGGCTTGGGGCTAGCTCCCCTGACTACCTGACTAAATCCGGCAGAGGAAGAAATCCTCCACTCCACTCCCAGAGCTCTTCCAGCCACCTGTCTTTTAGGCAGAGACTTTCTAAATATTGGAACTTGCTGGAGTCCCACTCCCACCCCCAACCCTATATGGGGGGATGACTCTCATCAATCCTGATGCAGGATATTTGCAAAATCCACAAAGGCACACCAAATGTTGGCTGGTACTCATTCTTTAGTTATTTGATTAATTTTACATCTTCAGGGTGAGTCCAAGTAAACAGTTACTAGGGAGACTGAGTTGCCTTCCCAGACACGATTTTGCTCTAGGATGATAGGAAAAAAGCAAAAACAAAACACAGAACAAAAAACCAATCCTAAATGCCTGAAATTAAAAATGTCTTAGCCCAACCTCATACCTGGTTCTTACCACGTTTATTTAAAAGTTGCAAACCAGAGGCCCTAAGAAGCACCCACTTCTACTATCTATCGAGAACTTAGTCCTTCACTGGAATTTAAAACAATTGAACAATTACCTATAGTTGTTGCATTAATCATCATGTAGACAGACAGCCCTACAAAGAACAATGACTACTCTGATGTGAATTATTACTTTTGAAGTCTGGCAGAGAAACTTAGGATTCTAGAATGAAGATAATTTAAATATAGTAGTTGTAGGAGAAATGAAGACCAAATCTATTTCTGTACACCCAAGGTCATTCCTCCAGAACTTCATCATCAAACCTGACTCTCTGAGAAGGAGAAAAAGATTCTGGCAATGGTAAAACAAACAAACAAACAAACAAACAAAAACACCAAAAAGCCATTATCATAATTTCAATCAAATGAACAGAATCTGTGTGACTGGGTTGGGGCAAGGCAAGCTTTAAAATTAAAACAAAACAAAACAAACAAAACATCCAGACCCAACAACTATATTTATTTTATGCTTGCTCATACAGGTGAATGCTATTTTTGTACATGAGTTAACTCAAAGTTTGTAGGCATCTAAAGTCTTTGGAAATCTTTTCTGAAGACAATAGGGAGATGTACTTTGGCTTCTAAACACTTACCTGGTGTGTTTCATTATTTAAAGGCAAAGATGTATGCTTTAGGAATACAGTCCACCACACTGAACACATTGTATATTTTGTACACAAACTACATGTATATATGTACCCCTCTGTATACCACAATACATATATACATATACATACGTATACATAGAGAGAGAGATTGGGAAGGTGGAGCAATGATACATGAAGGCATAATTTGTGTGCGTGCGCGCGTGTGTGTGAATAACTTTTTCGGCTCTGAGAGCAGAATTAAGCTGAAATTAAGAGGTAAATAAGAGAACTGCTACTGTATCATGCCTGGGCGTATGTGTGATGCATTTCTAGCTGATGAGCATGTTTTCTCTTGGAGCATTTAATTACTTTGTACTGGAATTAAACATGGTTCTAAGGATTATTGTTTTCTTGGTGGGGGAGGCAAGTCTACTTGTCAATTTCATTTGTGCGGTGCCACCGAACAGCATGGATCTATAGCCAAGATCCATGCTCAGGATTGAGTGATTTTCTAGAGTTCATTGAGCACTCAGAATATACAGTTGAGTACTGGTCAGTGGAAAAAAATCTTCATAATTCATTCTCTGGGTAGCAAAACCTCATCTTAATTGTACCAGGGCAAATTCCACTTCTTTAACCATAGCCCAGGGGCTTTTCTTGACCCAGGTATCCCCTGAAATCAGATGGGCAGCTTTTAAAAATTACTGATAGTCGGTCCCTCCCCATGAGATTCTGATTAATTGAGCTGGGGCGAGACCGTGGCATCAGCCATTTTTAAGAGCTTTCCACGTGAGTGCAAGCTGTAAGTGAATGCTAAGAACAAAGGGTGCTAACTTTCTGGACCAGTCCGCCTTGCAATGAGCCTATTCTTCTCTCAACATATTCTGTCTGTACCACTCAGTTGGTACTTTCCACATAGGTTTTGTCCTTTTCATGATCACATATTCATATATTTTGCTTCTTTAGCAATTTGTCCTTAATAATATAACAGCCAAGCTTTGTTGAGAACTTACTATATGCCAGGCAAAACACCAGATGCTTTGCTTAATGTCGCTTTCCATCCCAACAACGACCATCTGAGGTAGATTCTATTGTTACCTCCCATTTACAGGACTAGACAGGTTAAGTAACCAGGTTGAGATCACAGAGCAATGAGGAGGTAAAGCTGGAATTAAAACTCAAGCTTCTCTGGCACAGAACCCAAGCTATTGGCCAATCTGCACTGTACCGTTTGAAGGCTAAGACTACCTTATGTCTCCTTGTCCTTCCAAAAAGCACTGAGGTAGTAGCCTCAGTGCTCAGCAGATAGGTAGTTTTTGATTGCTGATTGAAATTTTTGTGATTGGATGAAATTATTAGTTCAGGAAATAATCTTGTACATTTATCTAAAACCAAACCGAGTCTTCATATTCCAAAGTATGCTGAAGTTTTTAGTTGTAACTCCCCAAGTTAACAAATGAAAATGGAATTGAATTTATTTCTACTCTATGTATTTACCCTGAATGGCTTTTGACTGTGTAAGATTAAAATATTTTTATGATGATGGTTATTAGGGCAGTTTAGGATGATGATTAGCACTTACTGAAAGAAGTGCTTTTTGGAAAAGAAAAAAAAAATATCGGGGCGCCTGGATGGCTCAGTTGTTAAGCGTCTGCCTTCAGCTCAGGTCATGATTCCAGGGTCCTGGGATCGAGCCCCGCATCAGGGTCCCTGCTCAGTGGGAAGCCTGCTTCCCCCTCTCCCACTCCCCCTGCTTGTGTTCCCTCTCTCACTGTGTCTCTCTCTGTCAAATAAATAAATAAAAATCTTAAAAAAAAAAAAAAAAGAAAAAATCTTCTTTGGAATATCAACTTCCCTTTGGTACCTCTTTGGAGGTATGGAAAATATCCATCCTTCCTTAGCCTGTAGCAGCCTCAGAGAATAATGTGATTACAAATCAAGCATGTGTCATTTTTCTTCTTTTACTTAAAAGCACAGCAACACAGCTGTGACTGAGGAAAATGATCTTCTTCGTATCCATGTCTTCAGAAATGTGTAGATTTCGTTCAACATCGTGGGAAAAGCCTCAACGTCCTGATCAGGGTAGGGCCTCTGGAGATGATCTGGTGGGCACCCAGAAAGAACATACTTACCGTCACTTAAGCCTGAAGGGCCCCCAATCTGAAAAGGATGTCCTAGAGGATGGAATAAAAAAAAATTCTAGCCCAACTTAATTTTATATGTCTGGAGGCATGTCCTAGGGTTTCCATGTTTGGAGGGTGTTGATTTGGCCCTTCTCATTCCTGACCGTGTACTGCTGGGTGCTTTGGAGATAGTTACACTCACCTCAAGGGGTCTTCACCCCATTCTTATGAGGATTTTCGGGGAAATCATGATTCTTTGGCACTCTCTCTATATATAAATACTGTATATATGGTTCACATACAGACAGTCGTAGAGGAAGATTAGTATCACTCTGGCCAGCTACGGGTTACTACGGTTGGTACTCATCTGCTGTGAGAAAGGGAAGTACAGACGGACATAGGAAACTGAGACAGGCTAAGGACAGAATCCAGGCAGGTGGGAGGCGCGTGTCGGGATGTAACTGCCGTCGTTGTTAGGTATATCAATCGCTTCATGCACGCACAAGAGAACCCCCACATTTACCCTGCCGTGGAGGGCCACCATTTCACAAGCAGTCCACTGGAAGTTGCTGTTACATTCCTTGGGTCAGTGTTAGAAAGCAGGAGCACCCAGGAAAAGTCCCAGTAGAAGACATGGTACTGGAAGGGCATGCACAGACTATGACAGCAGGTGGCTGGCTCATTCGGTTTAGTCACATACCTCTTTCCCCTGCCACGATCAGCCATGATTGAGTGGAACAGTAGAAAAACAGGGAGGAAATTTAAATATGCAATCAGGCATTAGTCGGGACGGTTGGATTTATGGTGTATTATATATTATTTAACTATACTGTCAATTTTCATTTATCATGGGAATGATCATTTTAAGTGCTTGAGAAATTGCTTTTATGGAAAGCCTTGTTTCCCCTTTAGCTGTAGAATTAACTGGAGAGGAAGAGTGAAAATTAGTGCAATTTTCAAAAAGGTTATTTTAAGAGCAATGATTTTAAATCTCAGTTTTGAAACAAGAGCTGATGAAATAGTTTGACCATAATGGAATCTTGGAATCTTTTTTTTTTTTTTAAGGGTTGTGTTGTTTAAGTCCCTACAGGTTTGGGATTTAGTTAGCCTTGAAATCCCTTAGTTTACAATGATTATCAAAATGATCATTTTTGACAGTGGTTCGTAAAAAAAAAAGAAAAGACAGAAAGCTGTATCTATCTATTAGATGTATGTTGGCGAATTGACAGGTTGAACAACACAGAATAATTTGCTTCCGTCACTGTGTTTAGCAACCTAGGTCATCCGAGATTAACAAATGAAGACTCTAGTGCAAGCAGAGAGTAAATTACAGAGATAAATTCAAAAACATGGCCTGTGATCCACACACCAAATAAAATAAATAAAAACAACAGTGGTAGCAACAACGACAACCACAGAAGACCAAAAAGTATATTGTGTGTTCTGGACAATAACCATATGCTGCTTGAATAAATTATCTTTAAAATATACTCACCTCTTCTGCTTCTTGCTAAAACATCTGAAAACTTAAGCTGAAATGGACAACATGTAACCACTTTTTGCTTGTTTTACACAACCTTCCAAAGGCTTCTCCTTGCAACACTTCCCCTTTCCTTCTGTTTGCAAGGCCAGTTAAAAGAAAATGGGTGTTAAGGAACCTTGTTCATGTCGCTGGTAGGATCAGTTCTGCACTTTCCAGCTAAGGGACACCCAAAAAGACATTTTCCCGCCATGCCTGCTCACCTCTGCGTGGTGCTCCTCATTCTGTTGGAGAACCTCAATGACTAGCTCAGCAAGGCGGATTGTGTCTTCCAGCTTTTTGGCAGGAGTGATTAACCGGCCTACATTTTCTGTAGTACAAGAATTTGTGTTAAAATTCAGCGAAAGCCTCAGGCTAGTTTTGTGGCCGTTAGAACTAGTGGATAAGAAATGTCAAATAGTTACCAATTTTTTTTTAAAGTTTCATGCAGATGTTAAGTGCCACGTAATTAGTAGTGAGCAAACCATAAAGCCATTTTGTTATTATCACCATCGTCCTCAGAATACATATTAAGAAAAAGCAGTGCTCCAGCTTCGAATTTGCATATTAAGCTACCTTAAGTTTATGACAGCCCATTTCAAATTTAGTGACATTTTGTACACATGTTCTTTAAAGACAGCATAAATGTACTATCTTAGATCACCCTCTAGACTGCGTTCATGCTACCTGAAGTGGGAAGCTTACTCTTGATTGCTGTGACATTTGTTTCCTGCATTTATCCCCGAACATTTGATAATACAGCATTGTTTTTCATTACAGGTCTGCACGTTTAACAGGTACTGGAATGTTCATTTTGAACAAACAGAATCAAAGGTCTGGCTGTTTTAAGTTGTCCAGGGAGGAGACTGAAAGTTAAGAGACATTCCTGGGCCATTAGGTAGAAGGCAGGATAGAATCATTAAAAGGGTGTTGGGGGTGGATTACAGGATGAACTGGTGGGAGTTTGTGCCACCTGTTGGTGCAACTGAAATTTTATCAGGCGGGTGGCAACAATGTACTCAAAACTGTTTCTTTGTTTTTAGTTTTGATAGTGTTGATAGCCACAAACTTGACCTGGTTGATGCTGAATCTTTTGTAGAGCTGAATTCATGAATGTTTGGTAAGGTCATTATGTTACCAAAAATTAAAAACTTTTCTCCTGGGGAAAAACAGTAATATTTAAAATACAAAGATTTTCTTGGCCAATGAAATTGCTTCAATTTAACCAGTCTGTACTCACAGGGGATCTTCTATTTCATGTTGAAACCTTCAAACTTTGAAGCCTCAGAGTCCTTTGGAACACATAGAGTGTAATGGCAATAAGGATCTGTTAGTGTGAGTCCATGGGCAGGTATATATGTGCACAAAAAGACTGCCAAAACTTATTTTTATCTCTTCATCTAAAGCAGATATATCTTGGCTTCAGGATTTTCCTAGCTAAAGGAAATATTCAATACTTGACAAGAAGGTTTTGTTGTTGTTTGTGGTGTTGTTGTCTTGGGGTGGGTGGGGTTTAAACAAAGTCATGGGTGACTGCTGATTTACAAAAGAAATTTAAGAGAGCCATATAATTTTCTTTTGTACATTTGTTAGACAGGTGATGAACATGTCAGATGATTAGTAATCTGGGATTTAATAATGAAAAACAAATTCAGTGAAGCACTATGCAAAAAGAGTGTCTCAGCCAATGGAAACTAAGAATGGTAAATGGGGTTGGGTAAGATTGTCAAAGTACTGAAAATTTCAGTCCAACAAGGTCCAATGACTGGTGTGAAAGTGGGCTTTCTGGATTCAGGCCGATGGATCCCTCCCTTGTCTCTACTGTGTACAGGTGGAAATGTGGTTGGATATGGTTAGGGCATGAAGGGGGGAGCGGCGGGGAACATAAATATACAGATCAGGTGGGGAATATCCAACACTCAGAGGAAGGAAATGTGCCGAGTTTAGGGTTGATAGCTCATTGCCTGGTCCGGAGCAATAAATATGTGGAGAGAGAATGAGTGACAAGATTGACTTCTACGCTTTTGGGGCACCTGGCCTGTGTATAGTTTCATAAATGGGCTATCATAATTTCATCAGTAGACTTTCAGGCATTTCTACAAACATACTGTGTATATATGTTTGAGTAATATGTGTAGAATGAGGTATTTGCATTTTGATAGTAAATATGCATAAGCTACTATTTTTTATTAGTTGGTATTCACATTTACCCATCAATTTGCAAATTCCTCATCCTATGCTTATTACCCATTCGACACATACACCCACATACACACATCACACACTTACATACATTTTCTAGTAACCAGACAAGCCTGCACATTAATACAAATCTGCAGGAAATCCCACTTGGGGCACATCTTTGAAATCTCTTGCTTTGAGAATAAAGAACATTCTTGCTATGAGGCGAGAACATTGTCCTTTGCATGGAATACTCACCAAATCTAGGGGAGTTCTAGCTGTACATGACATATGATATAGACATGAAGTAATTCCCACCAATATTTTTATGTATTTTCATTTAAAGACCGTGAATGATTTTTATGTTTGGAGAAATCCAAGATGCTTAAGCTAGGACCACCTGAAGATTTGTTTTGATATGCAGTACTCTTAGACTGACTACAATATATATTGGTAGATACACATAAAGTGTACATGTGCATGCAACCATTCTAAGTGTGAGCACATGTACACAGATATGTGTATGCCTGATGTATATATACAAACAGTATGTTTAATAAAACCTTTTGCAAGTTTACTTTAACATGCAACCATTAAAATAAGCAAGTTTAGGATCCTTTAATCTAGGATGCTTGATCTTCCAATTAACCCACGTAGCAGACTTCCATTTACCATTAATTAGCTGCAATACCATTATCTATAGATCAAACCACTTTATTGAGACATGACGCTGTTTTCTTCTTCATTTGCATATCTAACTGACTAGCTAAGTGGCAAAAATGGTGCTAAAAACAACTTCTCTAAGATGTTGTCTTTAAAGAAAATATTGTGCAAAATCCTCTAGCACGTCCTCCCTCCCCCCGCCCCCCCCCATCAGAGGTCAAGAAGAAATTTGTGCTTAGACATGATTTTTTTTTTTTGTCACTTCTGCTGTCTTGAAATGGATTGCAACATCACTATCACCCAATCTTGTACTAGCTGGAGCACTGAAGAAGGGGAGCTGTAACTACCATATACTTAGTAAACATTTCATACAACAGAACTGAAGCTCATAACATATAAAAAAAATCGTCATGCAAAATGTTATGCAACAACAATGTTATTTTGTGCTGACATTGAGATTTGAAAATGTTGCATATGTCAGACATAGCTAGACAAAAAAATGTGGACATTTGGAAATAAATGCTCTCTTTCGACTGTCTCAAAACCTACAGTGTCAAACTTGAGAGCCTGAGCCTCAGCTTAGTGTTCCAAACCGAAACAAAATTTCAAGAAGAAAAATGAACAGAAAAGCAAACTAAACTAAAAAGCTGCTGAATAAAGTAATGGTAGAAGTTTACAGTACTTGGTTGTGGCCTAGGCATGCCTTTGAGCCTCCGATATAACATGCTGGTCTGCTTTTGGGTGGGTGGAGGAGGCCCAGGAGGTGGCGGGGGAGCTGCTCAGGGAGGTGAGGAGAGACAGTAAAAAAAGGAAAGAGACAACGTGACTTTCACAAAGGTGACCAGGAAGATGATAAAGTCTGAAAAGAAAAACCAAACAAGCAACAATGATAGAACACAGACGGAGGACTGCTGCTTTCCTGGAGTTACTGCAGTATTACAGAGGTGTGACATTGTGTGACAAGGGACGGGACTCTTACCAGCGTCACCCATACTACCCTACCGAGACACTCAGAGGCTGAACGCAAACACTGGATGCCTTTCTCCAGATGGATACACATGAATGATGATGGCAGCATCATTGACAGAAAGAAGATACACTTTTGTTCAATGAAGAACGCCTCTATGTGAATAGCTGCTTCCTCTTCCCAGTGATCAGACTTGACGGATTCATAGCTGGAAGATCTGGCTTCTCACCCTCAATACGCTACTTAACTTTCTCATGTAACCTTCCACCTTCTCCTTAAACTTCTCTGTGCTTCCGGTTCCTCAGCTATGAAGCGAGAATATTAGTATCTTTCTTTACATACCTTGCGGGGCTGATGATAAGAGCAAATAAAACAGTGCGTGGACAGATCTCTGTAAAGCCTAAGGTGCCTAAAAACGTTTACTGTTCTCTCCAACACTGTGAGAAGGCAGGAATTAATTGCTTTACAAAAGCAGATGAAGGGCCATTATTAGTTCAAGTGATCTAGGGAATATTCTTGCTCCCTTTGTGGAATTTCAACATGTCAAAATCTGTCATTTTGGGGAAAAATGTGTGGTATCTGATTGTTTCCAGCTCATTTAATTATTTTCAATTTGAAATTCTCGTGGCTTTTATATTGTGGGTTGAATCATATATAAAAACTTGCCAGCTTATCAAATATGTTACTTGCTATTCCAAATGTTAGAATACTGTAATCAGCACTTGACCCATCTGTCATGTGGTTTACGATAACAGCACAGCAAACATCCTATAACAATAGCCTCTCCTTCAATACACACACAGAGCACTATCAGCTTCTACAATTCTCTCTCTTTAATGAGTGTCTCATTAATCTTAGACCTGGTCCTTTTTAATAGTTCCTCATTTATAAAGCAATCTGTATGGTGAGGGGGGACATACTACATTGCCAAGTTTGCTTCTTGGTTTGCTTGAATTTTCAGCTGGGAAAATGAATTTTACTGCAGGCTTATAGGAAATGGAATTCTAGCAACATTGATAAAAATATAAGAAATAAGGCTAAATATAATATTCTGGTAAAACCATCTATTGAAAGAAAAAGTTGATGAGGTCTTTTGCTTGTGGGACCACCTCAGTGTTTTGAATGCAGGACTAAAAAAAATATTTACCAGTCTCCTCTTATTTAAATCTTTTGTTTGGAAAATACTGTGCCTAAGTAGAATTTGGAAAAATCAGTGTTGAATTAAAGCTATTTAGAGGACGGCAACTACTGATCCTTTATAAAAAAGTACTCCATATTTTAATATATTTGTTAAAATCTGGTTTTCCACTTACAGCTGTACTGAAAGTTAGGTGCATCTCTGGTAACACATCTTCATGGCTCTTTCCGTGAATGTGTGTTACCTGAGCATGCAATTCTCATGGCAACTTCTTACCCAGATAGCTGAGCCTGTGTAGAGAAACACTTGACCTGGTGGTTTATAAAACAATGAAATGTCCCCGGGCTGATCCAGAACCCACCCATGAGGCAGCCGATACATA